TTCAGTCCATGACAAGAAACTGGAGACATACAGAATACAGAGGTCAACATCACCAGATTGGCCCATGAGCCACCGCCTTCTGGCGTAAGACTCTAGGCAATTTATTCAATCCAAAATGGAGAATTCACACAAGTTATTCACGGCCAAGACCAAAATATACATCAAAATACAACACCAGCCGATTGATAAGACCGGGCCCATCTTACCACCCGTCTAGGCGAAGTAAGGGTCGAAGTAGTGTGTTGGGCAAAGGAACACAGTTCCAGGAACCAGTGCCCTCAACTACCAGACTCCCGTCCTCCGCCGACACAGGGACGCAACCCACGGCAAACAGGTTGCCCATTTTAGTTTGCCCCATACGACCAGCAATGGGAGGCTGTGGAAATATTCTGCTCCGGTTCCACACGGGGGAAGAGCTATTAGCGTAACCCAGCACTCACCACGAGGAGGTTGCTCTTCACGAGTGCCCCTTATAAAAAGATCCCTATCGTCTGTTACAATTTAAATTACGCTTTGTTATGTCAATGTCCCGTTTTAAGCACGTTATTGTTTCAAAAAAACATTCATGTTCACATTACAGAGTGCAATATGCTCACACAGCCATGATGACATGTCTATCTTCAAATTCGGGAGGATAAACAAAGTCACAATAAGCATCCTTATAAAAGATACCAATAAAAATTTAGTGACACACTTCTCTTGGAAGCGCGAATTGTGTCATCAGGCGTTTTTGTCTTTTTTTATTTTAGTATAGTCACGGTAAAGGAACCATTGCAAACTGAATTTGGGTAAGAGCATGTTACCATGAAGCAATGGAAACATCTTCAGCAACCCATTCCTGCCGTAAAAGGCGACTGCTTGTCGTAAAAGGCGACTAACTGGATCAGGTGGTCAGGCACGCTGACTTGGTTGAAGCAAGCCATGATCCCAATTGCGTGGATCGATGCTCATGATATCAATCACTGGATTGTCTGGTCCAGACTCAATTTATTACAGACCGCGGTCATATAGCTGGAATATTGCTGCGTGCGGTATAAAACAACAAGCCAACCATGCAACCAAATTGCAGAAAAAGAGCTTTAATAACATCTAAAGCCATCTATAAAGATATGTGAACAGTTGGGAAGGATGTCCCTTAACAGATGGGCGGGAGGGGTTTAAGGATGGTAGGGTAGATGGAAGGCCTGTTACGTCAGCAACACCAGGAATGATCCAGAGAATCCGCGATCTGATGATGGGCGACCGGAGCATCACTGAGCGTCACATAGCTAGTTCAGTATGCATTTCCCAGTACATTCCATTATCACAGAAACTTTGGCAATGAAGAAAGTCCCAGCTCGTTGGGTTTCAAAAGCTTCTTACATAAGATAAAAAACGTACCAGTAACAACATGTACATGTCTCGTGATATTTTTTTTGTTTGAAGCTGATAGAGCAATGCAATTGCAACGATTTGCTACTATGGATGAAACCTTTGTTCACCACTTTCAGTTAAAAATCAAAACAACAATTAAAACAGTGAGATAATTTGACACGACCCCCACCAAAGATTGCAAAGATTGCCCAACCCGCTGGAGTGAGTGAGTGAGTTGGGTTTAACGCCGCTTTAACAGTATTCCAGTTATATCACAGCGTGTCAGCTTAATGTGGGAGGCAAGCCCGAAGTGATGCAGGTCTCAGACGTTTACCACTTTGGTGAAACCCACGAGCACGGGTATGGTGCTGACAAACCTAGAAACATAATTGGGGCGAACCGGGATTCGAACCCACAATCATAGGTTTCTGGCGTGCCCAAGGGACGCAACTCTGCACAGCGAATCGCGGCGCCTTAGACGGCTGGGCCACCCGTGCCCCCTATCGCGGTACAGAGAAAAGTTGTGTATGGAGGTCCGAATTGAACAAAAAGAGGACATAATTCTACCAACCACTTGGTATGATTATGCCAGACATCAGTGATTTGTCCAGACAAGTGCAAAGACAACACAAGTAAAATTCTAAATGTGTTATCAGCAATAGGTATTCAATGCATTTTTACCGAAAAGTAAGTGAAAAATATTTTATAAGTCAACAACAAAATATCAGAAATGATATTTTAAGATTGGTTAAAAAAAATTGGATGACAATAATTTGTCACAAAATGGAAAAATGTTAAAAGTCAACAACAAAGATATAAAAAGCACTCCTAGTATGCCCAAAGTATGTGTTTATCTTTTGGTTACTAGTGAAGAACGTATTTCTAAGTTTGGCATTATGGCCCTTATGATCTCCCAATAGATTCTGGGCACAGAGCGGGGAAAAATGTACGGACTACGTAACTTGCGTTACCTCATTAGTCTCCATGAATATGCATATGATCTAGTTCAGGTCGATAGAGAAAGTTTACTTGGGGAACTGCGGGTTATATCGTTGGCCATAGATAGATGGGGGTAAGGCAATATTACAACAGATGCCAGAAATATGTATCAACGGATTAATAACTCCTTACTTACAGCAGACGGAACATTCCGAGGAAATTGAAATTGTTTACGAAGTGAGCACTTCCTGGTTACCGATTTGCATTAATAGACAGCCGCTAAGAGGCGTGTCCCGCGTGAACTATCGGAAATCACAAATGCCGCGATACGATGAATGCGGCGGTACCATTGGGTCCGAGTATATAACTACATCATGGTATAAGTCAATTCCTTGAAGAGTGTGTGAACTAATGACAAGATGATAAGATGACTTTCCGGTGTGTACTGTTACACCGTTATCAAACATTTACTTCAAAATGCCACTCGCTTATCAGGAGATTAAACTATCTATTTATCAAATCAACATAATATTTTTCAATTCAGTATTTACTTATCTCTGCGATGTAAACAAAGTCCTGCGGATGACAGAAATAAAGGGTCCCTGGAAACGAGATCTCACACATCTGAAGGGGATGTAAACACAGACACTTCATGTCCATGTACACGGGAACAAGGGATTGTCCGACAGCGTAGTGTAGCCGTCTGTGCAGCAACAAGTGGAGGAAGATCCTAGATGGATGGTGGATCTTGTGTTGGAACAGTTATTTCTTCGTTGTGTCAAATGAACTGACATTAAGGAAAGACAAAGCACAGTTGCAGCAAATTGTTTACATCTTCTCTCAATGTGCTTTTAACATTAACAAAATATGATATTGAATGCATGCTTGCAACTGGGTGTTCACGACCTGCTCGTTGCCAACACTTTCTGTGTAATCTGCAGGATATAAACTTAATGTATTTTTAACCAAAACACACACGTTGTAGACCGCCCCTTAGTTATGTCCATCGGTATTACGTATGTTAATATAAATTGTCTAGAATATCCACCGAAACAGATTCCTTTTGGCAAAAGAGCAAAACAGCTGTAACAATTATCTATGGACCACTGAAAATCAGTGATGACACCAGGTGTTCGCGAAAAGGGTCAGAATGTCCTGCCCTACTGGTAGCACTCCCCATTCACACAAGGAGGTATGTATTGCCTGACAACGCACAGCAGTACCCATGCCCAAAAGTCATGTTCGTTTCTCAATTTTGGAAGGATCACTATTACAACACTAATATCATGTCTCTCAAATTTGCAAAAACTGTCCCTTAACAGGACTAAGACATTGTTCAATACATTTACTGGAGTCATACATTTGGCTGCCAATTGCAACCTCCAATAAATATTGAAACGATTTACTAATGATCTTGTGATCCACACACTCCATATATATAAAACAATACTGCATTGAGGAAGTGATGACTGGTGTAAAAACGTTACTATTCCAAGTGATATATTTGTTACAGAAGTTACCTTCCTCAAGATGTAAATGTGCATGACTATGTACTGATTCTTTGTCATCATGTCATATGTGCTCTCGAAACCCTTATCGTGAAAAATGATGTATGTTGATTTCAGTTTGCTTTGATTTTAATTGTATGTATGTATCTAGTGTGTTCACTTCAAAGGATTACCCGCATGCAGGTGCGACATATGTATGAACCTTGGGGCCTATCGTATTATCTGTGTGTCTGCGTGACTTCCTGGCTTGCTGCATTACTTGTAAAGAATTTATTTTTTGGCCTTTCAAGTGCAAATAATTACATGTGTTAGGCGAATAAGAAACTGATTCAGTGATCTTTCCAGGCTCTCCTATGGGTTGATTCTTGTAGTCCTCCCACCCGAAATCCACATTTGTTAAAGGTTTGTATTTGCGGTTCGACAGCTCAACTCAGGGTCTGTTGAGATAGCAGTGTCTGGAATTCAGTCTCCATTGTTTTGGTTTTCCAATTGCCGTGGTAAATTGTCTAAATTGGACGCGCGATAACACACACTTGTTCTCCGGGTAGTTAGCTAGTGTTAACAATGAGCATTCCCAATGAGGGGAACAGATGTAACAACCTGATCCATGCACCAGGTTGTTGTTGTGATCGCCTATTAATTAGGACTACACTACAAGAGATGAATGGTTGATATCAATACCATGATTATAATTTACTGTGGTAATGACAAACGACATCCATGGCCATGGGTTCATTCGAATAAGCGTATGCTGTTTCTTACAAACACATCACGTTTTCGATGTTTTATTTTTCCAGAAGTAAATAAAAATGGATAAAACACTTCAGTCTTATTTTTTTTCTCCACATAAAGAAGGAACTATTTTAATTGGTATGATGAAAACTGCTGATTGTTCAAAATAAGCATGTCAACAAAGATATGGGTGAATGTGGTTTTACGCCGCTTATGGCAATATTCCAGCAATATCATGACAGGGGGACCACATGAGTTGGTAAGACTATGCATCATCTATATTTGCATAATGCCTATCAGAAACAATTGAAACATATTCATCTAATGATTTCAAATCATTACGTAACCTCATGAAACATTTTACCATTTAATTCACCTATGGGGGAATAAAGAATATATATATATATATATATATATATATATATATATATATATATATATATATATATTCTTTATTCCCCCATAGGTGAATTAAATGGTAAAATGTTTATATATATATATATGCCAACATGAGTATTCTTTGAAACAAACATGTGTTGAGTTATGACACATTGACATACACAAACTATAACCTACATTGTTTATTCCACCATATTTGAGACCCATGGGTAGATCCTGGGTGGAATAAATCTTCAACAACCCATGCTTGCCATAAAAGGCGATCGGGTGGTCAGGCTCGCTGACTTGGTTGATGCATGTCATCGATCCCACTTTCGTGGAACAATGCTCGTGATATTAATCACTGGATTGTCTGGTCCAGATTCGATTATTGTAGACCGCCGTCATATAGCTGGAATATTGCTGAGTGCGGCGTTAAACAACCAACTACCACATTTGACATTAATAATATGACTTTAAGTCGAACATAAGACAACGAAATTTCGAGTTTCAATCATGTAGCTTAAAAAAAAGTAGAACGTATTTAAATGTCAATTATTCTAAGAATAATGAAAACTTGTTTCCAAGTAAAAGGCACACATTCATATGCATTTTCAGCCAAAATTATGAAGCAAACCCGAAATAAAGTGCATGACAACTGTTTCTGTTACATCCAGCGCTGGAAGTATTTAAAGTAAACAATGAAAAAAAACCCGGATTTCCGGAACAACATGATATATTCTTACTTTTTGTGTACTTTTGTTATTCTTTTAATCCCAGTCAACCGGGTATATGTATATAAGCCTGTAGTTTCATGCAAGCGGTAAGCCGCTTTGTTCAAACGCAAGATCGAGGTACTGTAATGTTTTCAGTTATCCAGACATTGTTGAACATTGTGGTTGTAGTATATGCATGCGTCCTAAGACGTTTACATCCTCTTTCGTTTATTGACGCTTTCCCTATAGCAATATTGAGCGGGTAAAACTTTAGAAGCATTTGATCAGTTGGTGTGTCATATGTTTACTAAAATAGTTCAAATTTTATATTCAAGCAGTAATATCACAGCTATACACCAAGCAGAACAAAACATACATTTGTAAAATCTGTCAGTACATTAAATCATTACGGTAAATATCACAATGAAAAGCAAACCAGAAAGTAACAAGAAAACATCAACAGTGTATCTTTCCATATAAAAAAATAGCAAGATAGTTATTCAGAACTTCATGTTTACAACTTATTACACAGATCAGATTCCTAAAGATGTATTGAAAATCAAATTATAAGTAAAAAGAACGAGCAATCAACCAATTAACCAGATAAAAGGATCTTTCCGATTTGTTACTTCATAATAAAAAAACAATCTGAAACATCCTCATCTGTTTTAAACAAAAATTCATGAGCTAATCGACTGTTGCCGTACCCAAAACAGTATGGAATATTGTTGGTTAAATCACATGAACTATATTCAAGAATGTAGGGAAATATTAGAATAAATCATATATGCATATGTAGCACACACATTAACAGCTTGAATGACCGTATGTTGAGAATAAATACCCAGTTCTTGTCGGACGAGCTGTCCAAATGGATCGGGTGTTGAGGATAGTTGACATGGTTGATTGCGTGTCGTGTAACAGTTATGTATGTAGACACAAATTCAAACATCAGAGAGTCACATTCTTTACACTGTTTCCCTGTTCTTCTTCACTCCCGAAAAGTGATGAGGTACTTGGGATAGGCCTGGACGTCGTTGAACACCACGAACATACTGGGATTATCCACGTTGTCAACCAAACTGTCGTACAGGACATTTGGGTCTTCGAGGCCTCGAGAAGGGGGAGCTACCATGTCTTCTTGTCCTTTAGTGAAGTGTCCAGTGAGGACGGACGCGTAATAGACGTGCTTGGTACCATCTTCATTTGGAGGAGAGTACAGGTCACGAGCAGAGTAGCTGGTGTTGACAGCAAAATAAGTTCCCTTTCCAAAGCGATGGACTGTAATAAAATGTATTGATTTATAGGACAGTTTATAAACACCTCAAACACACAAAGCACCGAGCAGGCATCAGGGTTTTCCCCAAGAAATGCAGGACTTATGTCACAAGTGTATGTATATAATTGCAAAAGCTATTCAACTGTTAAACGTTGGGCAGCTATGTTTAAGGCTTTGAAAACATGCCATGACGATGACCTTAGATCTGGACGTCCCTCAACTTCCATCAATGAAGATTCAATCAAGGAGATAGAAAACCTTATACTATCAGATGGACGTATTACCATATTGACTTGAGGAAAACCCAGGTATAAGCCAAGGATTCACTGAAGCTATTATTCATGAACATTTACAGATAAATAAGATATCTGCTCGTTGGGTGCCAAAGTTTCTAAATTCTGGTCTTAAGGAAAAAGTACTGACATTGTCAGAGAAAAAGTAGAGCTAATTGAATAGGATTTCGTCAAATTCTAAACGGAAAAGTAACGGGTGATGAAACATGGAATGGCACCATTCCATATCTCCGGCACCAAAGAAATGCAAGTCTTCAAGATCAGTGAAAAAAGTTATGACCACTGTATTCTGGGATGCAAAGGGTGTGATCCTTGTTGATTACTGAGAAAGTCAAAAGACATTTGAAAGTTACTGGTACATTATATACAATTCACACATCTTCAAAATTATAGCAACCCCTCATTGAACAGTTTCCCCCTTAAATGGAGGTAAATTTTATGTCATAAATATTTAAGAGATAACATTTCACAGGTCTCTGAATAGCTTATTGTATTCTTTGTAGAAATGTGAATAATCCTCAATTGAGTATCAGTTGTTTTGGTTTGTATTTGATGGGATTATCTTTATGCATGGTGTAATTGCGGGTAATTTGGCTCCCCAATTGTTGACCTTCATGCTGAGCAATAAACAATCAGCTCCATCTTATGGCATCTATATTCCTTACATTTGAGCATGTACATTTTATTCGAATTTCACGGAAAGACAGTGGCGGGTGCTACATGCAGATCATGACATGTTTAGATTCCAAAACGCCCCCCAAATCCGTACAAAGAGACACCAGACTCCACTGAATGCAAAAAGCAAAAGAGTGGTCTCTGTCTCAAAACGTCACCATTATACAATCATGGAAAAACTCTCTTTATAATCTCTTCACTGAAAGTATTTGAGACGAGTTGAATTCTAAATAAACCTAAAGAATTTGCTTGAATTTGTTCAAGCAGCTCCAGTCTTTGGTGCCTACATTTTCCAACTTTTGATGTACAATCCAGCATACTTTTTCAACGAAGATGTCAAAGAGTGTTACAGGACTCTTGCTCAAAAGTTGTTTGATCAGGGTTACAACATTCAATGCTTTCACAAACATTTATGCAATCATGTGTCAGGGACCAAATTTATATCTTATCCCTGTTTGGACATGTACCATATTTTTCCGTGTATGTCTAGGTGATCAATTGACGTGCCTTGGCATATTTGTGTGATGGGTGCCATCGGTGAGGCAGTATACACACACTTGGTATCATGGTTTTAACAATAGGTACCTTTTGCATAGCTGCGACTGAAACCATGGACACTGATACTGGTTACAAAATCACCCTTTGTTCCATGCCATAGGTGTTGCTCAACATCCATATCTGGGTTCTCTGTCACCATCTTGTGTCGAAGCATCATGTTCTGGAGATAAAGTGTGCGGTTCTGGATTCTCTTTATCTGGAATCAGAGTCCATTGGAATTAATAATTGTATTTGTAACACACCCATTTACCAAGCGATTGTTCATACATGCAAGGTCTTGATATTGACACAGCCGTAGTTTTGGAACAGGAATATTTTTAATCTTGACTGAAAGCTGCTTAGTGACGAAATACCTTGGTGTTGAGGGGTGGATCATTTCAAAGGAATGTAACCGATACACACCGAACGTTTTCAGTCGAGTTGCTGGTACAATATCGCTTTGAACTGATCAATCATCTGAGGGATCTTGATGGTATGACTACTTTCACCAAACTTAATATGTATGATGGAGCTGTTCCCTCAATGCATCCGTACGAGATACTTAAGATCATGCATTTAACCCTAGTCGGTATTGTTATCAGTATAGGTTAATAAAGACTGGTGTGATGTGGGAAATTTTGCAGCACCTGCATTTTGAACAGCTGAAGTCCTGTTTGGCATTTCCAAGAAGAGTATGCCAACAGTCAAGTCGGGATAGCACTATTGGCGTGTAGCCTCAGGTGTCAAAAGATCTGACGCCTAAAGAAGCAATGTTCCTCACTTGATATCCACCCAGTTTCTTTCGTTTTTACAATGTAGTTTTTGAATTGACACTACTTTCCACTCGATTTGCAGATGAATTGACAACAAAAGTAAGTCTTAGTGTTTTTCATTTGTATTCTACCTCTTGTCTCCAAAGAACTAACATTTCAGAAACATTGTTCAACCTGTGTGATCTCAGATATTAAACAACAGAGATCCAAGTACAGATACTTGGGGGACCCCATATGTGCATTTATGCATACCCGATAAGCACGAATTAGGTTATGTAGCTCAGGCAGAACAAGAACTGGTGGAGTAATTTGCCATCTAAATAAATCTGATTTAGTAGATAATCCAGATACTGCTTGTGTTGTATTGTATAGAATACTCGTGAGAGGTTACTGGCACATTAACACCTGAATCTGCCAAACCGATTAAGAGGGCAGCATATGTACTATGATTAGAATTCATTTACCAGGTTGTTTCCTTTGATGTATGCTGGAAGTCAAGTATTCAAAGCCTTTTCCAGACTGTTCGAGACGAAAAAGGAATAGGAGACAGGTCTGTAGTTGGAAAATGGTTATATAACATTCAAGGCCTTAGTGAGATTCATGCCAGGATCATAGTGCTAGCCCATTCAGATACCATGCTGCAGTTTAACATGGATACCCTACTCAGACAACTATAATGACTCTGAGCCAACAAGTTCTTGTTTTATAGATGCAGAGTGTCAGGCAGGGTAACAACAAGTACCATCTTTAAATGCGTTTTGGTATGACGCGGCCGGGGATAAAACCACCGACCTTCCTTTCTCCTGGCAGATGCCCTTCCACTTGAAAAGGGAGGCGCTTGCTATTATAAGGGTTCATCAAAGGACTGAAGGTAGCAAGGTGAAAAGTGTCAATGTACTTAAAACTTGAAATTGAGCGCCCGAGACTCGGTTATGGTCGACCCTTGTTAATCTTTCCAACCAAGTAATTACTAAACCTCCCACTATTAATCAAATGTATATGCTAATCATTTCCCCGGTAATGTATGTGATACAACAATGGCATTAATAAATTGTATTTCCACCACTTTAAGCATTCTTGAAGCCATATCACGATGAGGGATACCAATCAGGGTTTCACACATTACATCTATTCAGCTAATCAACGTGACGCGCAACTGCTCCAACCACGAATTGCCCCACAACCACCCACTATACCTTAGACTACACTCAAGCAAAAGTACAGTTTCTGCAGAAAGCTTATTGTGCCCCTCCCAGTGTAGTTTATGTCCAGAGGTTTTGACTAAGTTTCAAAGTAGTTTTGGAGTTTTCAATTGGATATCAAAAGACAGAATTTCAGCATGGATTAATGGGCAAGGAATGCAATGCATACACATTTCAAACTGACAACCTGCTCATTCTGTATTCACAAACTCGAAAACTCGTTCAGGAAATAAGGTAAAAGAGCCAATATGTGGTTGTTGCAAAGTGTGCAGAAGATAAAAGGACACAAACCATGTTTTGAACGATACAGTACCTGGACAATGGTAAACCGATGGTTAACACCTGTATTGAATTTTCTAGCCACCAATGTGTATTCTTTATCTTCAGGTTCCAGCTGTACTTCGCTCACAAACTGTTCCTCAGTCATTGGACTCCAGTGTGCAGGCAGCTGGATGTGTCCAGCCATGCCCACGGCTATAGTTTACAAAGAAAAAACCCATGATGCATTAGGTTTAGCTATGAATCAACCAATTGTTTCCATTTGCGTGATATTGGTTCATCTAAATTTAAGAAATAATATAACGTTTGCTGATCTCACACGTTGTTTGTTTGTTTGTTGTTTAAGGCTGTATTAAGCAATGTTCTATGAATGTGATGTATTCGTGTCGTGGCCACAATAGTGATATAATGATTGATATTAAAGAGCATGGTCTCACGCCGACATCAATCATAGGTTTCCAATCTCAATAATTGAAACAACGATATCTTTAGCAATATCCATTGTCTTGTTATCCTCTTTAGATGTCTCTAATGCATGTGAGTAAAGCATATTGATAAAAACACTGACGCATCACCTTGTTTAAAGGCCAATAGTACAAATTCCTTAATTCTAAATGACTCATCCCATGCCACGTCAGCACATTTGCGTTACATTGTCTTATGGTAAAACGGAGAGAAACATTTCATGTGTTTACAAAGCGCGCTGTGCGTTCAGTTCCATACGCGTTTTAGATCTCTCAAGTGTACAGATAGCACCGCTCTAAACTGAAAACACTTGATGGTTCCATGTTAACTATTACACAGAAATTTTACTCTGACTTTTTATTAAAAAATGTAACTGTAGACGCCTTTTGATATCGAATTCATATGATATTGGACATCTTTTGTTACATGTTTTAATAAAAAGTCAGAGCAAAAGTTTCTGATACGATAATTCAATTCGATATTAGTTTCACCAATCAGTTTTAGTAATGCCTTGGCTAAATGCAATTTTTGCGGAGAGTGTCCTAAAGCTGTGGTATTACTAGTACTGACTACGATATAATGAGAAAATAAAATTCAACGATATTAACACAAAAGATCGAATCTGTGAAATGAAGTTTCCATTTTATGATTGTGGATGATTCGTATTTAGTATTGATAGTACCTGTCTTTATTGTACATTCGTGTGTTGCTGGGACTACTGCTACCTCGACCCCTTCAATGGGAGGAACACCCTCAAAGATCTATAATGAACAAGAAAACATTCAAAAGATACACTCGTTAAAAGTAGTGTAACGTATCTCATATCTCTGCAAAAAGGACTGGAGCAATGTCTGAAGTAAATTGAAAGGACAAATCATCAATCTATCCCCGGGCTGTTTTTATGATTTCAAGTAATCCAATCTTATAAAAACAAGTACATGCATTCTTTTACTACATCCATCACTTTCGATCCAATATAAAGACATACACTTTTCTGAATATATATTGTACACATCTAGACGCATTCAACGGTCACCAACTTTGCACAGGAATTATGAAGAGAACAGCGCGTGAGACTTAAAAAATGATTATAAAGGGGTAAATTGTTAGGTGGTAATTTCTTTTCAAGAGCAGAGAATTTGTGGAGAAGAGATTCAGCCCAAGCGACTTAAACGTGTGGTTTAAGCTGGAGCCTACCCTATTACATGTGTACATTTTGTTTCAATGAAAACACAAAAAATAAAAAATTCGGAAATTGATGTGTTGTTTTCAGCATTCCGGTTTGGTAAAACTAAATGTTAAACTTTCTTTGAAATTATATAATAGTAATACTGATTACATACCAATTATATCTAACATAAAGCTGACGACAATTGTATCTAACTATAAGAACATCGTTTTGAAGAAACGTAAAATCCTGACGTTAGTTAACATGTACACTTACCCTAATGAAATGTCAACCTAGCCAGGTAACCAGACATCGTAGCCAAAAGAACTGGAAAACAAACCTCTAAGCTTGTCGTGTCTTCTGGATACACCACAACACGCGCCTCGTACAGGGATGTGTGAGGGTTGCTTGTTTTGAATTCATCAAAGCTCTCGAAGATACATTTTACCACTTTATCGCAAGGATATTTCAAGATCCCAGTACCAATCAGAGGAAAGGCGATGCTCTTCAGATTTGAGGTTGAGGCCCTGATCAGACACTTAACAAAAAACGCTCTGTAATTCTGGAAAACAAAGGTTCACATTTGGTGCACAGTAACGCCAATGGGGACAATTTTTCATGTAAAGCACTTTAATGGAAACTATATTTTCAATGCATCATTAAGTGAACATGTTAACATGTTTGACAACCGCCATCAAAAACTAGTGTTGAGACCCTTGTTACATTTGCTGTTTTGCTGTTACGGGTGAGTGAGTGAGTTTGGTTTATCGCCACTTTCGAACAATATTCAATTAAAATCACAGCGTTTCCTCTTGGCGAAAAGCCCGAAGAGCTGTAGGTTTTAGACGTTTACATCTTAGAATGGGAATGTTGCTGACGAAGCTGAAAATAATAATCAGGGCGAACCAGCATTCGATCATACGTTTCTGGAGTGCAGTGTTTGTTTCAAGAGTGTAACTTCTTTCAACGTTTGTTTTAAGAGCAAGAGTTTTAACACAATCCTTTGCTTTTCCATAACAACAACTTTAATTCAGGGTATGTTTTGGGGTTTGCGGAATGATGCAAATAAGGATTGGTGGCCATCATTTACCAAAAATCTAAGATTGTTTATTTACGATTGTAAGCTTGCAATTATAGGATGGATGAGGCTTTCTTTTTGTTACGTGTTGTTATGTTAGGTTGTATTTTCTTTTCTCAGTCGCTGTTACCAGTGGTAGGCAATTCTGTCTGTCTATTGGAAAGTTATTAGTTCCTGACACATAGCTTGTTCATAAAAACGTAATGGTGTTAATGATGAATTACCTGCTCTGACCAACCTCCCAGGGACGTGTGGTATATTCTCCGACTCGGTAGAAGACCTCCTGAAGTCTCGGCTATCTCTTCCATCTTAACACCTGTGGGATAGTTGACCCTGCACTCTTCTTGTATGCTGTCTCCAGCAACTTTATATATTGCTGCAGATAGTTGCCCACTTGCCAATCTGAGACTCGAGGTAGTGGAATTTACAATTACATCAACCTGAAACATTTATGTTGTTATTCAATCATTTATTCATTACTCAATCGATATAAGTGGAAGAATCAATTTAATTAGATTACAGGATTGTTTTATTTGCCATTTTTGTGCCGAGGTTGAATTATCTAGCTGTTGTCATTGTATAACCATATCATTGTTATATATGTCACCCGACTGTGTGGTGTAGTGGTACTTGTTACCATGTCTAGTTCTCCGCATTAAGGCTTTAAGTCAGTAACACATACACGTGATTGCATGTCGCTGAGTAAGGGAAAACATGTTCAACGCGACAATGACAAAAAACTATGTATATGTCACTACTAAGGGCGACTGATCGACCTGTTGTAAACAATCCTCTTTCTAACTTGAAAGGAAAGCGTACACGATGGTAATGTGTATTATGCAAACTTGTGCTTTCAATTGATAAAATAAAATTGGAAGTTTTCTCCACTAGATCCTTTTACTTTATTTTTTATGACACAATACTTACATCCTGATGGACAATATCCGCTTTGACAATGGTCACAGAAAAGGAAGACCCGAGTGCTGTGTCGTAAATAATGAATAAGAAGGGAAAGTTGATATATACATGTCAAGTTTAAGAGGAAAATAATATAATCTCATATAGATTCTAACAGCATAAATAATCGACAATTGACGCGTTATTCAAGAAAGAATGAAGTCATTTACACACAATAACATACATCATCAACAAAATGTTTGTTTGAATACATCGATTCAAGTCTAAGAAAGGACATCGTTCTAGAATCCAAAGTTGCGTTCATGAACAGAGGGCGGGATGTATGTTTACTGTGCAGTCTTCTTCGCACAGGGCTATTCCCTCCTTTGAAATGATAAAAGCGATGGTCCAACATGTCCATTCAGCGCTGTTTCCAGGATTATTGTCCGCTGCTACAATTTGTGTCATGCAGAGACTGAGCCAAGCCAACGGTTCCCAGCTTTGTTTTATTCAAAAGCCATCGTTTACTATAGAATATTCTACATTAGCGGATGTTGAGAGACTATTTCTGATTATTAGCTGGGTCCAACAAATGCACCACCAAATCCCTGTCTCAAAGATAACCATAATCCTTAAAACAATCAAGAAAGAACTTTCTTTACAAAGTATTCTGCGACAAATGGAATTAATATGTTGATTATCAAAAACGCAAAGGATTTGCCTTACATTTTGCTGTCTCAGGAAAGATCCATGTTCAATTTTGTAAAAAAAAACACTTGATTTTTTCACTTTGTACACCACTATCCCACATGAAAAACGTATGGAAAATCTTCTTTCCTTGATCCATGGGCCTTTTTGTACAAAACGTGGTGACCATAGATGTAGTTACATATCTATCGTCCGAAGCACAGGTTTGTTAGTAAACATCTGACTATGGGAAATGCTGGATTTCATCTTTGATAAAATTTATGTAATATTTGGGGTAGGCCATTTAGGTTATAGGAACCAATTGTGCTCCTCTTCTTGCTGATATGTTGTGATCTGCATGTGAATTGTAATTTCTTACTCGGATTGGCAACGTCAAATTACGGCTATTTATCCATGAAGGTTAATTTTAGCTTCGGGTATACCGATCATCTGATCTCGTTCAAAAACCATGGAATAGGCTATGTATAAGAATAAGTGTGACAGGTCACTCTCCACAAGACTGTATGACAAGAGGGATGTCTTAAATTAATGTAACATTCTCAGACAAAGAACAGTTTCCCCAAATGGCCCACAGTATTTCAAATTTCAGGAACCATCGACAATTTCATTTCCTGTAAGAACACAATTTCATCCAGGTGGTTCAATTATAGGGACGTGTTGCAGAAGTTGGGCAGTTATTCAAATATGGACCAAAATACCGTGAGCAACCTTTTACCACTTGGATGGATGCTGTCGAAGAATATGTAAAAATAATAGACCAAAAGAGAAGAGGAACCTGTTGAACGTCTTTTTAGAGTGGGTTAGATAAGTGCGTGAAGTTGTCCTTGGTACAATGCACAAACTTAAAAAGAGAAATTTCGAATATACCCGCCCTGTCCAAGCCAGCTGTCATCCAAAGATATATTTCTGGGTCCACCAAATGTCCCACCAAATCCCGTTCTCAAAGTCTAGCCATAATCCTTAATACAATCAAAGAAGGACTTTCTTTATATTCACAGAAAGTATTTGAGACAAGCGGAATTAATACCATGTGGATTCTCAAAAACTCAAAGGATTTGCTTGACATCTTGCAATCTCAGAAAAGAACCAAGTTCCATTATCTCAAAACATTTGATTTTTATATCTCTGTTCACCACTATCTCACATAACAATCTTAAGGAAAAACTTCATTCATTGAGCCATGGAGCTTTTGTTACAAAACGTGGCGAACACATATACAGTTTCGTAACTATATTCAGAGGTTTTGGACAATTTGTGAAAAATGAAAGCAAATGCCATCTGAAGTTTCCTGAGAAAACAATCTGTAAAATCCTGGACTTCCTCATTGATAACATTGACGTACAATTTGGGGGTTAGACATTTAGGAAAACAGTAGGCATCCCCATGGACACCATTTTGCTCTCATTTTTGCGGATCTGTGACTTTATGCATATGAATTAGAATTTCTGTTCGAACTGGCAAAGTCAAAACAAGGTAATTTGACCAAGAAGTTTAACTTCAGCTTCAGGTATATCGATGATTTGGTATCGTTCAATTACCATTTCCCTTCCACTGATTTAATCACCTGAACTAGAAATAAAGGAGACCAGTGAGACCTCCTCATCTGTTTTATATTTAGATTTATGCCTAAAGGGTGACAACCCATGGAGATCCGGGTCTTCAGCAACCCATGCTTGCCGTAAAAGGCGACTTTGCTTGTCGTTAAAGGCGACTAACGAGATCAGGCGTTGAGGGTCGCCGACTTGGTTGATGCATGCCATCGTATCCCAGTTGTGTGGATCGATGCACATGATTTCAATCACTTGATTGTCTGATCCAGACTCGAACATTTGCAGAACGCCGTCATAAAGCTGGTATATTGCTGAGTTCGGCGTCAAACAAAAAAACAAAAAAAAACAACATGACCTAGGTCTGCTTATTGGGAGATCGACCATCCCTGTATTCTTGGAGAAACCATGTCTCTGAGAAGAGGTACTGCAATAGCTCGCGATCGTTTGAGATCAGGAAGTGGCGACCATAAAGATACTGGTAGTATTTCTTTATTCCAAATATCACAGAGCATCCTTCTTTTTCTAACTGAGAGGAATCCTTTTCAGCTTGGTGAAGTGTTCGAGAGCGAACGTCTCGTTTTACATGTCCTATCTGTCATTTTGTGGGATATTACGGCACCTCGTCGGTATCGTGATGCATCAGTCGACAGGTCAAGGTCCCTGTTACTGTCAAAGTGTACCAAGACGTTCGCTGATTAGCAGTATTTACCATAGTGATTCAACAGTCCCAGGTAGGAATTCAGGTATGTCACATTTGTTGGAGAGGGTGCATTGGCGACGTCTTTGACCTTGTCTTGTACTGGATGTAAGTCTTCGGCACTAATGCGGTGTCCCAAGTAATTAACTTCTGGAGCCTTGAAAACACATTTTTATTTCTTGACTTTGATACCAGTCTCTGATAACTTCCGCAACACGGAGTCTGTTTTGGCAATGTGCTCTCCGTCATCTTCCAAAGATGATGATGTCATCCTGGTAGATGCTGGTATACCCTGTATTAAGTTATCAATGAATTATTGGAAAATGTTGAGTGCATTCCGACTGTTTAATCTGAAGAGTCCTCTATTTTTGTTTTGTTATGTACTCCTTAGACTGTTCATCTAAGGGTAACTGTAAGTACGCACTTGACATATCAACTTTGTTTAAAGTTTAACCTCCTGATAGATTAGCTTGCAGTTCACTATTTCTGGGAATTGGAAAGTAATCGGAGTGGCAAGCCAGATTGATTGTGACCTTGTAATCTCCACAAGATCTCACGGTCTGATCAGATTCAAGTACACACACAAAAAGTGTTAGACATTTTTAATGTTGAACAGGATCGATAATTCTCTCAATGAGAAATCTGTCGAGTTCTTTGTTCGCCGTTTCCTTCACGACATTGGATAGAGGACGTGGATTGCAGAAAATCGGTTGGAAGTCAACATAGATTTCTCCAAGACATGTTTCGAACACGTCTGAATCTTTCTTGAGTACTTCATCCAAACTGTTCTGAACAGTTACAGTACATAGTTCATGAAAGTTAGTTATCTAAAACAACATCAGCGCGTTTCTGCAAAACAGACTTGATCTATTATTTTTCACAACAAATATCTGTCTTGAAAGGTGACGTCAATATTCGCATGTCCAAGAATGTCGACTTCCTCAGTTTTCAAAACACTTGAACGACCTCTGAGCATGTTTTCAAACTCCCTGCCATACTCACAATGTTCGGCTTTACGCCGAAGTTCGAAACCATGATAGACTGTCCCGGTTGACGAAAGCTCGTGTTGAACTTGTACCTCTGTACGATAGTCGACGGCTTAGGGTGGTGGTGTTTCGGAACAATCGCAAACAACTGTGCAAATGTCTTGTATTTAGGTTTTCCAGACACAACAAGGTTCCGCATGAGTTAAGATGTCTTTGAACCAACAACGTTAATCAGCACGTCTGTTGCGTCAATCCTGTTAGCGATAAGGATACGTCTCGAGTCCACGTTTCGTCTGCTGGGTCAAATTCCCCAAACTTGTTCACTCCAGACATAGTAGGCTAGCGATGTAGTCCGACTGGTCCTCGTCGCAAATTTGTTATATACTTATATCAAGTTCTCTCTTGGTTGGAATACCCGTAGGTTTTAATTATCATATTACAGGACCACGTATGTGACCTCTTATATCGTTCCGACTTGCCTTGCGCCCGGGAGCGCTCATTGACTTCCTCTGAAGTAGGCATTAATTTACTACATAACACGTTACTACAACTGTATTGATACTGTAATTGGTATTCATTCTCAGTTTGAATACAGTTGTTTAATTATACCTATCCATTGTGTTTTCTGTTGCATTTCACTTAATCTATTCGACGGAAATATATATTTGAAACTGACTGTTACATGCAAAAATAATCTAAAGATGGTTGAATAATGAGATATCGATAGTTATTTGGACTTACGTCTGCCTTCCCCAAGTTGCGGGCGCTTGTCAATCTCAGATGTAAATGCCTGTTCATATATAAAACAGGTGTAACTTTTGTGCATGTTCATAGGTGTGTGTGCTCTCCTGATGACGATTCTTGTAAGATATGTAGATACATACCCAAACTATACTATATTATACGTTTTCGCCTTTATCGATATGTCTTTGGTTATATTTGTACTTTAACTGCGATGGTTACATTTCTATTTCTAATAGTTAAATAGTTATTTAAATACTCAATTTCATCACTGAATATACACGACACATGGAAAGGTAAATGTGCATAGATTTATGAATGTACCTTAATCAACTCCACCTCGCCTTCATCCGCATACACCACTATTTCATCAAGGGACACCGATGAATGATTCAACGCCGTGTCAATGATGGATCTAGCCAACACGCCCGTTGATAAAGAGTCCATGCCATATCCAGTTGGAGGAATGGCGATGCTTGATATCTTATCATTCTCAGCTTTGCGTAGGACACCGTCTGTCAGACTTCTTAGTTTCTGCATATGATATTGTGATTAATACCCTGTATCTACTCGCTACAATACCTTATTGGATGATTCCTCGCCACAAAGAGCTTTCCAATAAGTTAGTTACTGATATGGGCTATTGAAAAGGGGACGTAATTTCCCAAATGTAGAAGTAGTAAAACTAATTTGACCTTATCTAAAGCAACCGTAATTGTGTTTAAATAATTCAAGTGAGTGAATGAGTGAGTATGGTGTTACGCCGCTTTTCGCAATATTCCAGCAATATCACGGCGGGGGACACCAGAAATGGGCTTCACACATTGTAGCCATGTCAGGAATCGAAACCGGGCCGTCGGCGTGACGGGCGAACGCTTAAACCACTAGGTTACCCGACCGTCCCTTAAATAATTCAAATACCGAGACTTGGTTTCAATGTCTATTATTAAAATCGCAACTTGCGATGAATTTTATATATCTTTTTACGTCAAAAGAAAATATCAATAGAATATCTGTTCAATTGAGAAATGTACATGTGTTGCTACAAATTGCACAACCGAAAACCTTAGATTAACAAATTTTATATAATACACCTAACTGACACCACCCATGCCATATGCACCCTCTTTAGTTGACAACCGAGGCCACTTCAACAAAACAACATAGCTAATGTGAACTTTACCTGTTCTGTGAGTGGCCGAGTCCTGATCAGGACATAATACACAAACTGGCAAGGAAGGTCGCCCCCAGCAGTCACAAAGATATCTGATTCTTCACCCTGGATATAACAGTGCAGATAATCTAAGTAAGATCCGTCGATACCGGGGGTTTAGTCTTATGTATGTGAAAACCTTTTCAAGCATCGTATCTAATCAGAGGAAATGCACTTAAACATTTCATATACATCTTCACATCTCCTTGACAGTGTATCTGTAGATACCCAATTGCATATGGGTTATTATGAATATCCTACCATGCCTAAGTTTGTATCTCACAACAAATGGTGACAGTTATTCCAGCTAGCTTTTTTATCTTTTATCAGTGGCAATTGAAGCACTCTGTCAATCACAACATGTCTGATCACCTGTAATATTGGCCACGTGGACATACTTTACATAATATATTCTCTTCTATTCATTTGCATAGAAACACTACGTGATGCATAAGGTCCCCCGCGCTAGGGAATGACAGAAACATTTCATTTACCTCCGTAGACTCCAAACATGACTTATCATCGGGCTTTACATCCGTAATGGAAGCAATGGCATCAACCTGCAGGGATAAGGTATTGTCAGTCTTGTTTGATATTAGACATAACATGCGTTCAATATATGTTTATAGTTACAAGAAATATTATGCGATGCCAAAGGTAATAGATGTACATGCATGAATCTGTTTGCGTTCTGAGCAGCATTCATATAACAATAAGTATCTGTAAGGGAAGCTTTCAATTGGTATGTGTTTAAAAATATATATTCACTTCTATTCAGTTTCGAAATATACGTATTTACAGTGACTGATCAAATGTATTTCACATTCCAGTCAGCAATGGAACCGCGCTATATCACAGAGACCATGCAAATAATCAAGTCTTGGCCAGAGAGTCAAGCTGACTGAGAGCTTGAACAAGATCAAGACTTATTCTTCGACGAAATTCCCAGTGTTAACAGCCATTAACAAGCACATGGGAAATTGTAGTTTGTAGTTGTAATGTTCAGTGTAATTCCTTTTGACAAGACGATGGAACAAACACAAGTGACATGTATGCAATTCTTACATATATAGGGGCGGTCGGGTAGCCTGGTGGTTAAAGCGTTCGCTCGTCACGCTGAAGACCCGGGTTCGATTCCCGACATGGGTACAATGTGTGAAGCCCATTTCTGGTGTTCCCCGCCGTGATATTGCTGAAATATTGCTAAAAGCGGCGTAAAACCATACTCACTCACTCACTCTCTTACATATATACCTACATGTTGCTGTGTTTTATCGCCTGTTACAAACGACACTGCTGCATAGGCTGTAAAAAATATATATCATCATATTATTATTATCATTTGATGAAAACAGCAAAAGATACATTAATTAGTTGTCAATAGTAACTGTTTGGGGCTTTGACTTAGTGAAAGAAGCTTGTTTTTCAGTAATATTGTACATGTGTGGGTATGCCCCAATGGCCTAAAAATAACCGTGCCTGGACAAGCTAAACTAGTGGCCGATAGCGTGAGCTACAATCCGTTCCGTTTGGTAACGATAACTGTCAGCAAGGACACCTTAAACGACCTTTACATTAGGCATGGGTTGCTGGAGACAGAGACTGGTCAGGAATCTACATCTGGCCTTTTTAAAAACAAAATATAAACATACAAAACATGTTTGTAGATTTACAGATGTCACAGATAGGCTGTTGATATTGTTATTTGGAATAAACGACTACCAACAGCCGGACACAGGGTAACTTTCAACAGCTGTGAGACAGTTATGCCACACTTAAATGCAGCAATGAGTGACGCCATATGCTTCCATGGCTTTGTTTGAAGAATGAATGGGCATATCAACTCAAAAGCGACTGATTTCTAACAGATATTGAATAGTTAAAGATCATGTTAGTTTGGAATATCATTCATCACTAATACTGTGTTTTGCATTGAATATATAATAGCGTCTTTGACTTATCAATAATAATGTAAGTGTATTCCTGTAAGATTTATATCAAGTTTTGATATCTATACTAACGGAAAAAAGGTAAAAGTGCTTCACATAAACTTCAGTATAATTTTTTTTTCTGACAGTTTATATTAACTTGGATTGTACGATTCCGACTGTATCATGAGCATGTGTTTATGAATCATTATCAAATAGTAATGATACTTGGTGTTCGCGAAAGGATGAGCAAATCCTGCCCCACCCTCGAACATGTATTCATGAAGCCATGAAGACTTTAAGGTCGTGATTCACAATTTGCACGTGCATGTTCATGCACGGCGCACAATTTAGATGTTTGCGTGTTTGTTTGGAGCATGATAATCACAGTTTTTTTTTATTGTGAACAGCACACAATGATTGATATTAAGTGCTCATAAAAACACTTCTGTTCAACCGTAAATAACGTTTACGCAATACCACGGCTTGCTGAAAGTCAACGCCTACTCGCTGTGGGCTTGCGGTAAACAGGAATGGCACAAAACAAAGTTGCCAGATATTTTAATGATCGTCGAAGATCGACATAATCTCTTTGGAGATGTTATCTACAAGATGGCGACACTCATGACTTGCCACGGGTTTGTCGTCCACATGTGACGTCACGTCAACAAGACAATCACATTAGGTTGGTGCATCTAAGGAATCGATACCAAACTGCCACATTAACAACTCGGACAATTCCTGGGTTGAGACCAACGGGTAAGGGAGCACAACATCCGACTCCAACGTCCAGCAATACGCCCAAGTTTGCTTCCTCGTCCCCGTCATGCACGCCTAGCTTGGTGTAGATGCGTCTTGGGTTCAGAAAACAAGACTGGACCAGTATACTGTCTACATGAGTCTAGGTTTCAGGCAACCATAAAAACGTTTTAGCGACGCTTGCGATACTCAACGTCGTCAGCTTGGGGGTTGGAGTGTAATGGTATGGGGTGGCATGACAATTATTTGGAGAACACGACTCACCACTGTTATTAGCAATTCGAATGGTGTACGCTACCAGGACGAAACTGAAATCGTGTTCTACCATTTGTCTACATGCAGGAACGTAACGTAGCAGGATAATTTCCGCTAACATATGGCACGTGTTTCAACAGACCTTTTGAAGCAGCATAACATTTCTGTACTGCCATGGCCGGCTGTTTCTCCAGACCCCTCTACCATAGAACAGGTCTCTGGTTAGACGGAACAACGTCTACGACAGGACAAGAACCAACTGAAAACACTAGCTCAGTTGTGAAAATATTTGCTTGACATTTAGAACAACTGTTGGTCTGTTTACAATCATATGGCGTCTTCAACACGCCGCCGGTGTCTCGCATGTATCAACCCAAATGGTGGTCACATCCGACATTGATATTGTAAACTGAGTTGTTACAACACTCCTCTTTTAGGGCGTGTGGCTCTGTCTCCTGTAGGCAGGCACGGGCTTTGTAATGTATTGGTTACGATACAACATTGATCAGACGAATGATCAAATATTATGTTGTTATCTTCAATAAATAGCATTCACACCAATATTTATGAAGCACGGTTATTTTTTTACGTTAGTGTATGATAATGACCTAAAACATTGACATGAGGTTAGAAATGGTCTTTTTCCTTTAGATGACCCATGCTAGTAAGATGAAATATTGCCTTTTTGTGAAATCAATGTGCAACTACTCGATTCTGAAAACTGATCCAACGATCATCGGAACAGTTCGAAAAGACCTCTAGGTGTGCACTCAGTTTCGGGCCATCATTATCTCACCTTGGCTGTTATCTCGGACTGATTTCTTTGCTTGTTGTTGGCAAATAGTCAACACTTCTCTGGCGGCTTCCTTTGAAATGGAGAGATAAACATTCAGAAATACAAATAGTAATATGAATATATATTTTACACTGTTTTGGAGACACTTTCATCATCCCCAGTGTTATCTGCCCATCGGTAACTGGAAGAACAATGTATGATTACTTATTGACCTGTCATGAGGATGTTGATGTCATGAAATGTATTTGTGTGCACATATTAACAAATTTAATGATATCTTGATTATGTTTATTGATCAGGTTTGATTACCTGAGGATGTTTCATATTAATCAACTTCTTTTAAAACAGGCGAGTTACTCATGTACAATCATGTCAATAAATTGGGTAATAGAATAAGTATCAAAAACCTACATTCTAACTTTTCCCGAAAACAGGCATTACCCGTTTCAATGACTGTCGACCATTTCTCTTTTGTCATTAAAACCACCATTTGTCAACATAAAATATACTCACTTTTGATATATTACAAGATGTCTGTTGAAGAATTCTGTCGAGTCCTTCATCTGTGACACCTCTCTAAACAAACCCTTGAAGATGTAACATAATACGATATGTGCTTAATAGCTTTCTATTTCTAATGTCATTAGCTTTGAGGGAGACATATTACTTGTTATGGCCATATCTAGGCAGGCATAGTAAATTGATTAGCAAAAAAGGGACTTTAGTATGGTGATCTCATTCTTTAGGCATGTGAATCGGATTTCTGCTCGAATTGGGATACAATCGAGCATGCTCTTTCTAGGAAGATTTTATAGAGTTTCACACGTGTCTTGCTTGAGCCATCGGTGTTTGTGCCACCGGTTGGGCAAGAGACGGCCACCTTTTCGCGAACACCTTGTATCATCACTATTGTTAGTGTTCTGTAAACATACTTATGATATAGTAGAAATCGAAAAGAGATTCTTCTTTTTAGCAGAAATGTCTTAAGATTACGGAAGCGTTGTTGCTATAATTTCCCTTTTTTACTTGCATGGTGGATAGTTACCTAAATCACTCATGCGACAAAGAATAAAAGAGAATAACCACCCGAAACAGCCTTGAGAAATGGTTATCTGACGTGAAAGGGAATGAACTCACACTTAGTAGGCTATCAATTCGAGCAAGAACAGCCGCCTGAAAGATAATACAATATGCCTCGTGAACAGATAAACGTGTCATCAAGTGACTTTTCCATGAATCCAATTTTGATATTTTTGGGGTCATACATACAATGCACATTGTGCCAAACAAACACGTTATACACCTTTATAAATACGTATACATACCCAAAGAGATAATCCTTTTTAGAAATGGGAATAACATAACATTCATTAAACACTAGAATTGATGTTGTGGGGCATACAACAATTACTGTGTTACAATATCATAACGTTATATAATGAACATATGCGTATAAACATGACCACGTGATGCATTAGCATGTGCAACAGGCATGATTTATTTATTTTCCCAAATGTTTTTAATCTTGATTCGGTTAAAACATTAATTTCAATTTATGTTCAATAACACGAGTTACAATTTGATCGACGTTTGTTTCGTACTTTTGAAACATACTACCTCTGGTCAATGCTGATTCCTTTTAGTCTACATTTTCAACTCGCCAGTTACATACAAGGATAATCGAAAGTTGACACTCACCAATATTTCTGCTAACGCTGCAATGAAATTACATGTGTTCAGAAAAAACTTATGAATGCATACATACACATGATCAAGTAATCTTTATCGAGTCATTGTTGAGACATTCCCATTTATCACTTCTAACAAGTACACCCATCAACTTCCTGTGATAATGGCAAAGAGTCACCATATAATAGTTCACCGTAATCGTTAGTGTTTTAAATGCACGCATGGCAAAAGCTTGTGTGTGATTAAGAAATGCCCCCGACTAGTTTCAAACAAAAACATGCATTCACTCTGATACCACCCACGTATTTAAACGGCAGTGGCAGCCGGGAGCAAATTCTACCACCATAATAAAGCAGCCTGTCACTCCCTGTTAAGTATTATATAAGATTGATTGTTTCATGGTGAAAGTTAATGACTACTTTAAGGTAACTGTTCATTGGCGAATACGTACCACGTGTTCTCTCAAGTTCCTTCTGAGCTCCATCTTTTCTCGCATCAATCTGTAACATTATACTTGTTTCTTACATATACACAAAAATAAGTTATATCCACAAGGCAAATGACGCATAATTAAGAAAATATATAACATGGTGATGATTAACATTAGTTTGAGTCGGTCACCAGCTACAGTGTATAATAGGACGTATGGAAACGTGAGGCCAATTTTCTTGGAGGAGGGAAATACTTGATGTCATTTGGCCTTTGAAAGCCTAATTGAATTTTGACCATACTATTGTCATGTTGATATTTTGAGTCGTCACCTTAAGATAGGTAATGTATTTTCTCAAAACGTCAGCATCGATATCCTAATATTACTGAATACGTTTACACCTGGAAACATACAAACATGTAATTAATTTCAAGTAGTCGAAATAGGATATTTACAGACAGGTGATATTCAGCAAGCCATAAAAATACTTCACTGATAAGAGAGTAAGTAGGCCGTGGGCTAGGTATGACCCACGCGCAACCCCCCCACCACCACCACATCCAAACCCCATTAATTGTTTGTAAAGCCAATAAACATACTAAACATGATTTTTGAAGGTTAACAAGAAAAACGTTGGGACGAAGTTGATCAATAATCAGCCTACATCAAATTATGGTGTTTATATATGGTTTCCTATGGTATATAACACATCGAGGTCAGTGAATAACACACAAGATGACAAGCCATACCTAGCCCACGACCTAAAGCCAATTCCAGTTTGTAGTCATATCAGGGAAGAGTAATAATTTAGTTCCTTCAGGTGATGTGCAGTGTGTTTGCTGTATGTAGCGCCATGGTCTATTTAACGACGCTAAATATAACAATTTATCAACGTGCACTAAATATGATATAATTTAAGTTTGGCATAAAAGAATTACTTTTTAACATTTAGTGAATTTAATTTTCTCTTGTGACCTGGGCCTGCTCAAAACGGGTGCAATCAGGCAATCCCGAGGACTATGTGCAGTTGGAAGAAAAATATCCACAAAAGCTATGAGTAGTATACTAATAAAAAATCAGCGACCGTGGCAGCACTTGCCAGATTCTGAACGTTGTTTCAGTATGTAACATATACTTACATTCTTCTGAAGCTCAATGACATCTTTTGTCTTTTGCTGAAATATTAACAATTGATGTTGCAGCTGGACGTCAGACACATAAAAAGACTGTCATGCAAAGACGACTTAGAATTTGACACTCTTAGGCTTTTTTAAGTGAGTGAGTAAGTGGAAGTAAGATATATTCCGCAAAAAAAGTCTGGAAATATAGACATTTTTAAGAGATTTGAAAAGAGAGGAGTGAAAAAGTCGCAAATCACGGGTGTCATGATTTCATGCCAGGAACACATCTATGACTGATGGTTTGATTAAGAGAATGAAAAGTGGTCCTTCCGGTTCATTGAAGAACTCAAACGTGCGTCCAAACATCTCCTTTGTTTAATTCATCCAAATTTAACAGTCCAGGAAGTGGTGTTTTTTGAGTAATCGTATGTCAACATTGACATAATTGAACGGCCAAACGCGGTAGTCCATGTGAAAGAACCATGCCAACAAGACGACCAGTCAGTGCTTTAAGACCGAGAAAGGAGAGTAGAATGGCTCCGGAATGGCATATCTCTCAAGGAAGTTGCAAGACGTCTGCAGAACTCGCCCTACGCATCCACATACCATGCCAAAGATTCCGTACCATTGGCAGCGTCCTCGGACATCATCTATAGCAGAGAGTCGTTATGTTCCCGACAACCAGTAAATTGGCGTTATAGTAACCAGACCATCAGGAACCGCCTCCAAGATATGAACATCCGGTCAAGCTTTCCAGCCCTGCGACAACCACTTTGACCAGTTCATCGAGTCAACAGTCTGGTGCAGAGCTGGCACTCGTGAAGAGCAACCTCCTCGTGGTGAGTGCTGGGTAACGCTAATCGCTCTTCCCCCGTGTGGAACCGGGGCAGAATATTTCCACAGCCTCCCATTGCTGGTCGTATGAGGCGACTAAAATGGGCAACCTGTTTGCCGTGGGTTGCGTCCCTGTGTCGGCGGAGGACGGGAGTCTGGTAGTTGAGGGCACTGGTTCCTGGAACTGTGTTCCTTTGCCCAACACACTACTTCGACCCTTACTTCGCCTAGACGGGTGGTAAGATGGGCCCGGTCTTATCAATCGGCTGGTCATGCCAGGCCCTGTGCGTAATATTGTCTATGCACACCTGTGTTGTATTGTAATGTATATTTTGGTCTTGGTCATCCATAACTTGTGTGAATTGAATTACTTGCCTGGAGTCTTACGCCAGAAGGCGGTGGCTCATGGGCCAATCTGGTGATGTTGACCTCCGAATAATGTATGTTTTCAATTTCTTGTCATGGGCCGAACCAGTCTGGCATTGAGTTGGTAAACAAATACAGCTGTTCGCGTCATATTCTCTGGAGTATAACATCCCTGTATCCCTGGTGTTTGCATCCTGGATATCCGATGCAACATAACACTGTCCCTGGTGACACTCGGTGGCGGGTGGGGAGCAGGGGTGCTGAATAATTTTCTTTCATCATGGCTCAACAACAATCTGGTTCATCTCGAAATGAAAAAAAGAGAAGATTAGAAGATATCGATATTTCAACTGGAAGTATTGCTCAAAATATTGATACCTGGGCTAGATTCCTGGTTATTGAGGCTGCTGATAACCTTCCCATCAAACTCAATCCTTTCGCTATTTCTAAGGCTGTTTCTGGGATTTGCGGTGAGGTGAAGAACGTTACCCGTCTCCGTAGTGGTTCGCTTCTGGTGGAGTGTGCTCGGAGACAGCAATCTCTCAATCTTTTATCTATCTCTACATTTGCAAATATTGAGGTTGCTGTGTCTGAGCACAGAACATTAAATTCTTGTCGAGGCATTGTTCGTGACAGGGCTCGTTGTCTGTCCGACATGTCTGAAGACGAAATCACTACAGAGTTGGGAGACCAGGCTGTAACTGCAGTTAGACGCTTCACATTCAAAAAGGATGGTGTCATCACGAACACAAATACGTACCTTATGACGTTTGCCCGAACAACACTCCCACAGTCAATAAAAGCAGGTTATTTCAGTATCGGAGTGGATGTGTATGTCCCCAATCCGCTCCGATGCTACAAGTGTCAACGTTTTGGTCATGGATCAAAGTCCTGTCATAGCTCTGTGGCATGTCATCGGTGTGGTGACAGCCATGAAAGCATTGACTGTGAGAAGGATTTGAAGTGCGCCAACTGTTCTGGACCACATGTTGCTTCTTCCAAATCATGCCCCGTATGGCAAATGGAATCACAAATCATGAAACTGAAATGCGAACGAAACATATCCTACTTGGATGCAAAAAAAAAAATATTCAAAAATCAGACCACTACTCCCTCAAATATTTCTTACTCTGCTGCAGTCACTCGCTCTGTTGCGACATCATCTATTTCGTGCCAGACTGACTTGACATGGGTCAAGTCAGAACAACCAGTTGAGACTGTTCCAATAGATCAGGATATTCCTAGCATCGTTGTATCTAGTTCAGGATCTCAGACTGAGATTCAGGCTGAGAAACAATCTCAAACATCAGTCAAACAACCAGTCACTGTTCAATTGTCAAATAAAGAAAAAAAGAAATTGAAGAAAAAACAACTACCAATCGTCCCTCCGCCTTCAGAGGTTCCTTTACAGAACTCCTTTGGGCCTCTGGACATGGAGGTTACTCTGTCCTCACAGGACAGGCGGGGGAGTAGTTCCTCCTCCCATTCACGTGAGCGATCTCCAATTGAGCCACCATGACTCAATTGGCCAATCTAATGCAATGGAATTGCAGAGGACTTCGCCATAATTTTAATGAACTGCAGTTATTAACAAGTGATTTAAATACATCTGCAATTTCTTTACAAGAGACGTACCTTAAAAATACAGATAAGTTTGATTTAAAGCAGTATAGTTCATATCATTACTTCTCTCCTCCGAGAGATAAAGCTACTGGAGGTGCTTCTATTTTAGTGCGGCGGGGCGTTGTTCACAGTCCTGTTCCGCTTGACTCGACTCTGCAAGCAGTTGCAGTTAGAATTACACTGCATATTGCCTTCACACTTTGCTCCTTATACATTCCTCCTTCTTCAAATCTTCAGCGAAATCATCTACAAAAACTATACGACCAGCTCCCAAAGCCCTGTGTCATCATGGGTGATCTAAATGGACATAATCCTTTATGGGGAAGTTCAATACTTAATCAAAAGGGTAAAGTCATTGAGGATTTTGTTTCTGATAATGACCTCTGCATCTTTAACGATGACTCGGACACCTACTTACACCCTGCAACTGGTACGTATTCATCATTAGATCTGTCTTTGACGGATTTAGTTTTGTTGAATGAGTTCTCATGTTCCGTCCATGATGACCTATGTGGGAGTGACCATTTCCCAACGGTGCTTAAACCCATTCATCCCACTGATGATCCACCTGCACCTCGATGGAATTTTGTGAAGGCTGATTGGCTTTTATTTCAATCTTTATGCAAAGATAAATTACAACCTACGTCTTTTCAGAATGTTACTGACCCGATTCAGTTGTTCTCAGATCTACTGAATGAAATTGCTGACGAATCAATACCTAAGTCCTCGATCAACCCACGTGTTCGTAAACCGTGGTTTGATGACACTTGCAAACATGCTAGGAAATGTCGTAAGAAGGCGGAGAAATACTTCCGTAAACATCCCACTGTCCATAACTTGAACATCGTCAAAATTTCAAATGCTAAGGCGAGACGTCTATTCAAACAAAATAAACGTCAATCCTGGCAGAATTAGGTCTCAAAAATTAACTCTCGTACCCCCATGTCCAAGGTATGGAACATGATCAAAAAGATCAAAGGCAAGGGATCAAATTCTACAGTAAACCATCTAAAGGATGGCGATACTTTGCTAACGACTAAATCTGATATTGCCAATAGACTTGGGAAAACGTTATCTCAACATTCTTCTTCATCTAATTACGCTCCTGAATTTCAAAAGTATCAAC